TGCAACGTAAGTGGGGCAGGGCCTCCACGACGGCGCGACAGTCGAGGATCTCACTGTTGTCCGCATCATTTTCTGCCATTTCCGCTACGATATTCCTTGTCTACATTTGCAGTTTGTTTGTGAGAAAGACAATTAAGACTGCGTCTTTCGCCCGCAGGCTGGACTCTATCTGGGGGGACGGAAAATGCAGGGTATCCGATCCAAGTATTACCGACTCCCATGACGATACGTCCTTAGATAACCAACAGGACTCAGAAGGTCCGGGCATTCAATTGCTCCTTGGCCCTACGCCAGCGGATGAACTAACAGCAGATATAGTGCATGCAGATTTTGCTCCTTCAGTGGAGGTGACCGCCGGCGCGTCAGCTCCACTATTCCTGGCAGAAACGGCTGAACAGGTAACGGCAGACGGAGAAGAAGCAGGTCCTAACGGGAGAGGCGAAGACGCATCCGATGAGGGGCATTGGGTAGGACTGCTGATACTTGAGGTGCCGCTCGACGACGGCCCGCTCCAGCCTGCCTCCCCTCTTGACCCTGGCCTGCTTGCTTTTATTGACGCCGTGCTACTTGGCAGCGAAGTTCCCCTTGCTGAATCGGCCTTACCGCCAGCAGACGAACCACAGAACTCTGAACTGCTGAATCGTTCTGCTGGTTCGTGGACCGCCACATCAGCAGCAGCCTCTGGACTGGACGGGAGAGCTTCATCGAGTACGGTGCAAGAAGAGCTCGCAGAGCCCTCTTGGGTACCACGAACGTCTAGGAGAAACCGTAGGCAGAAAACGATCGATAACCAGAAGCCATCTCCACGCCCCTCAACCCCCCAAAATGTACCAAGTGGCTCAGCTGCTGATGCAGCAGGAGGCTCTGGCCTGGACGGGAGTCGTCCATCGAGTAATGTGCGTGAAAATCCCTCAAAGCGCCGTCCAGTACCAATCATTCTTAGAAGAGGCCGTAAGCGGAGAATTGGCGATGAGCAGGAGCCATCTCCAGACCCCTCAACCCCCCAAAATATATCCGATGGCTCAGCTGAAGTTGCACTAGGAGCCTCTGGCCCGGGCGGGAGAGCTCCGTCTAATACTGTGGATGAAGGGCCCTCAGTGCCCTCGCCAACAGCAAAGAGGCCAAGGGGACGGCGTAAGCAAAGATTCAGCGTTAGACAGGAGCCAGATCCAGGCCCCCCAACTCCCCAAATTATGCCACGTGACTCATTTGCAAACCGTGTATCGTGGATAGCATCAGCTGGGACACGTGCAGGAGGAGGAGTCAGCTTCCAGCAATACGATCCAACCGCAGTGATTTCTTCTTCTGATGACCCTAGTACTGTCCCGCAGCTGCTGCTGCCTGCGCGTATCATGGTGCGTGGGCAACGGGGGTCGCCTCAACACGTTGGAGCTGCTACATGCAAGCTGTGCATGCATGCATGCAATAAACTAGACGCCACCACGTGTTGCGTCCTGTATTTGCTGTAGCAGTCGCCACTAAAGTCGTTAAACTGTCTGGTGGATGCGTGCGCATGCGTCTATGTGTGCATATAGTTGTTCGGAGCAGCTGATGAAGTGCAGTATTCCCGGACTGAATAGTGTAGTTGCTCTTCCTGCTATTGTTCTCGCTGTTCTTGTTCTTGTTGTCGTTATCGTCGTCATCGTTGCTGTTCTGCTGCTGTTGCTGTTGTTTGGTTCCATGTTGCTGTTGTTGTTCTTGTAGTTGTTGTTGTTCTTGTTGTTGTTGTTGTTCTTGTTCTTGTTCTTGTCCTTGTTTTTTGCTGTTGTCATGGCTGGTCCGTCTGGTTTTGCTGTTTCTGGCGCTTCTGTTGCTGCTGTTTTTGTCGTGTCTCTTCAGGAAACAGCTGCAGTGCTGCTGCCGGAGAATGGAGGATTCTTCCCAAATGCCGAAGTGCTCAACCAGGTGCTTTGGGAGGTGCCGTCTGTAGACCCATCCGCTTCACCGCATTCCTCTAGTCCAGGAGACACCTCCGCCTGAGGAGGAAGATAATCTAGGCTTTGACCTGTCATTGGCCGTTTTTTTCAACCCGCCGGTTTGCAGATACGGCACTTGATAGTTGCAGAGAAGTACTGAAGAAGGATTCGCCCTTCCTCGAGGACCTGAAA